ACAACCACGAAAACGACTCGTTGGGGGGAATATGTGTGCTTATGGCTGCAATGTTAACTCTGTGAATTATTTTGGTTTTGAAATAAAAACCCAAAAAACATCACATCGAGAGCAGAATCCTACAGTCCTCTGCAGAACCTTCTGCCGAATCCTCACACATGATGTTCCCCGCACCAAGCACTGCAGCACATCTGCATGTTCACACAGTCGGACTCGGTCACGTTACACGGGTAGCTGTAAGGGTGCGCTCCATTTGCGCACCGCCCCCAGCCTACGGCCAGGCCCGACTCATCCCGCTTCCCCCACAACTTTGGGTGGGACGGGATGTCATGGCGCTGTCGCGACCACGCGCAAAGCGCGCACATTGCGCGGCTCCATCCGCTGGCACTTTGACGTTCCCGTGCACGAGCCCGGCTCCCACTCGTCCTTCATGGACTCCATGCTCTGCGGTGCGGATCAGCCTCTTCCAGCTGTTTCACACTTGCTTTTTCGATCACAGCCCTCCATGGGTCGCTCCCAGTTCTCTGGTACGAGCGACGGCGGTAAGGGCGCGAAACCAATCCTCAGACGTTGCTCACGTGACCTCGAGCACACGTCCGCTGTCGGAACGCGCGCACGAATGCCTCCCTTTCGGCTACTCGCTAGCCCAGCGCACTTTCTCCAAATGTCCGGAGACCGCGCTGCAGCCACTGCGCACGGCGGAAACGAGGGTTTTGTTTTACCGGGACGATCTGCTCCGATGCGCCCGGTCCGAGGACGGGGCGTCAGTGCAAACCAGGAGGTTAACAGAGCATCTGTCAACCCTGGGGTTTTCTATAAACTGGGGGAAGAACTCTGTTCTTCCATCCCAGTCGATTATGTTTCTCGGGGGGGAGCTGAACGCCTCTCTAATGAGAGCACGTTCGTCGCCGGTGAGAGCGGCAGATCTCACCACGGTGATCTCCCGCGTGCAACCCCGCGAGATCGTGAGAGCCCTGTTAGTCATGAGACTTCTGGGCATGATGGCTGCAGCCCACTCGGTGGTGCTGCTGGGGTTGTTGCGCTCGAGGCGCCTGCAAAGTTGGTTCATCTGCCTCCGGGTACACCCGATACGTCAGAAGAGACGTATGTTGAGGGTTCCCCCCTCAGTGGGCGGGGACCTCGCTCACTGGGGGAATCCCTGCATCCCCTCACACGGGATTCCCATCGGACGTCCTGCGTCACACGTATCTGTGTTTATGGATGTGTCACTGTCTGGGGTGGAGGGCACGTGCTTGTTACGCGGCAGATCGCTGGCCCTCCCACACGCACGAGCACATAAATGTGTTGGAGCTTATGACAATGAGGAATGTGTTCATGCACTTCGCTGCCCTTCTCGATGGCCGTCATGTCGAAGTTCACACAGACAACCAGGTGGCGGCAGCCTGCATAAATCGCCAAGGGGGAGTTCGATCCCCCCCTCTATTGCGCATAGCCACAGGTTTACTGTGTTGGGCACATGTCCACCTGCTGTGCCACCTACATTCCGGGGATCCTGAATGTAGCGGCAGACATCCTGTCGAGAGGGGGTCCCCGCGACTCCGACTGGCGTCTGCATCCCGCGCTGATATCACAGATCTGGATAAGGTTCGGGGAACCGTGTGGATCTGTTCACGGCTCGCGAAAACGCTCAGTGTCGCCTGTGGTTTTCCCTGAGTCTCCGGGACCAAACCTCGCTCGGAGCGGACGCCTTCTCACACCAGCCCGGGCTTCAAACCCTCCTTTATGCGTTTCCACCAGTCCCTCTGATTCCCCGTCTCCTGGACCGAGTTCGGTCAGAACAGCTCTCGGTAATTCTGGTGGCTCCCAGACGCTTGTCCGCGTCATGGCTTCCGGACCAGCAAGCGCTACTGTCCGGCTCCCCGTGGATACTCCCGCGAAGGGAGGACGCCCCTCCCCGGGCGGATGGGATAATCAGACATCCTCCGGAAATAAGCCATCGGCTGTGGGTCTGGCCGATGAGCGGTTTCGATTAGGGGTTTCTGGGCTGCCGCATGATGTGGTCACCACGATTCAGAGTGCGCGGGCGCCCTCTACCATTGCATCTTACGCTGCTAAATGGGCAGCTTTCCAGAACTGGGGCACAGAGCGGAATGTTCAAGCGCTCTCCTGCCAGCTGGCGGATGTCCTATCGTTTCTGCAGATACTGATGGACAGGGGCCTCGTATTCAGCACTATTAAAACATATGCTGCAGCTATCTCATCCTGTCACCAGGGTTTTGGTGATAGATCTGTTTTCAATCATCCCCTCACAAAACGTTTTCTAAAAGGTGTCAGAAGGAACAGACCTGTGTCCCGTCCGCTAATTCCCCAGTGGGATCTAACGGTGGTTCTGAGTGGCTTATCTGAAGCCCCATTTGAGCCATTGGACCAGGTCTCACTCATGTTCCTGTCACTTACAACTGCCTTGCTGCTGGCACTGGCATCAGTCACGAGAGTGAGCGACCAAACCGCCCTCTCAGTGGCTCCCGCATGCCTCAGGATCCGGAAAGATGGCGGGTCTGCTGTTTTATGCCCCAACCCAGCCTTTGTGCCCAAAAAACATTAATACTTCCTTCAAATCCAGGTCAATTTCATTGGCTGGACTTTTTCCTCCTCCCCATAATTCTGAGGAGAAGGCGGCTTCCCATCTTCTCTGCCCAGTGCGCGCGCTCGCACGATATGTGTCACGCACTTCAGGGATTCGCCGCTCACAAATCATGTTTGTGCACTACAGGGAGTCTTCCCTTGGGCAAGCGCTGTTGGCCCAGCGCCTTTGACTCTGGCTATGTGACGCCAGTTCACTCGCTTACACATCATTGGGGCTGGATCCTCCTGAGACACTCAGGGCTCACTCAGCCAGAGGGATTTCCTCTTCTGTGGCGCCCCACAGTGGTGGGTCAATGGAAGTCATTTGTCAGGCTGCTTCATGGGCTTCACCCTGTTCCTTTACTCGTTCTTATTTACGAGATGTGTCTTCAGGATCCATCACTCGTTCAGTGCTTGGACCTCAGCAGGCTGAGTGAACGCATTATGGCACCTCATCGGCCCTGCTTGAATGAATTTCATCCTCTTGTGGATGATATTTTTTAGTGGTGGCCCCACTCTTCTCTCTGGCTGCCTCAGCCTTTTACGCCCTGGGCTGAGGCTGAGCGACCCCCACTAAAAGGAGACATGTTGGGTGTGTCCATTGGTTGAGCTAACCAGTGTGGCGTAAACCCATCCAGCTGCGCTTTATTCCAATAGCAGCTCGCTTAAGGGCTAAGACTAGACGAAATAGAACGTTGGTTACGTATTGTAACCCCAGATTCTATGAGTCTAGTCGCAGCCCTTAAGCCACTTGGCCACACTGGTTCTGTTAGGACTAAGAGCCATCGGAGGCGAACAGTGGAGTCGCTCCACTTATATAACCCACAAGGGGTGCCCACGTGGTGGGCGTACATTTAAGCTCTTCATGATTGGCTGATGCTGAGATCACCCTTCCAATAGCAGCTCGCTTAAGGGCTGCGACTAGACTCATAGAATCTGGGGTTACAATATGTAACCAACGCTCTATCGCCCATCATGCTGCTTAAAAACGTCGACGCTGATTGGATATATTCCCATTCCTACCGTTTGATTTTCTTGTCAGCAATTGGTCGGCTGGTGCCGTCCTGTTTGGGCGATTCAAAAACAGCCTACAGCCTTTCTGTCGCCTCCACCGCTCGGCAGAGAGCTTCTCATCAATATAGATATATAAATATATGATTTGTTTTTGTTACAAAACACACAATTAACTTAGAATATGTGATTATTGTTAATTTTATTTATTTATTTATTTAAATAAAAATTAAAAACACTGGGGAAAACTGGGAGGGTGGCGCCCTATCGCCCTCTACTGGCCAGCCACCACTATGCATGCTATATGTATTAGTTAACTGAACAAATAAACAACATGTGTGCTAACTTTGTTTAAATACAAATCTGTTACAGTGAAGAACCCAGCAGCTTAACTATTTAGGTTGTAGGTTTTTATTGGTACAAGATTTTATTTTGGATGTTCTGATATTTTTAAATCGATGAAGTTTAACTCACTTGTAAATGTCTAAAGATGTGCTCTTTATGCAGCTGCTGGTGACTCCTCTGACCAGTTCACTAATGGGCCATTCCCATCTGTACCGGGTCGGCCCGGGCCGGGTAGCGTAGGTTGTTTACATATCTGGGTGGCCTGGTATTTTTCTGGGCCAACCAAGGCTCATTCTCAGCCCTCTTCTCGAGGGGGTCTGCTTCAGGCCGACCAGGGCCAACACACCCACTGCTGACAGCAAATTCACACCTTCCATTAGAGCAAGCCTCTGATTGGTGGGTAGAATCAGCCCACATGGGCTTAAGACAAGGATGTGTGGAATCAACCGGGCCAGGCTGGGGCCAACTGGGGCTACCCGGCCCGGGCCGACCCGGTACAGATGGGAATGGCCCATAACAGTTGTAATCAGTGCCATACCATACCATGTTCAGGGTCAATTTAAACTGCATCGTTTTCAGGTGAGTCCCTAAAATGTGGCAGATTGTAAGGGAGTTGTCAAAAAAATGGTGGCCAATTTTGTAGAAAACAAATCGCGATACAACATTTTTATTATAAAAAAATAAAATCTTCCATATGAGAAAGATTATATATCACTTATACTTGTGCAATAAATAGTTATTTGTTATTTATCTGAAGCATTTTTCTCCTATTTTATAACATACTGCTATGGACTTGTATTTTTAAAATAAAGACGTAACTTTTATTTTAAATGTTGCATTGCACCACAGGTTCTGCCATTTTAGCTGTTTTACATTGTCATAAAATATCAAATAAATTATTTTAATATATGTGATCTAGTGTGGCCAATCAGAGCACGGAACGTCATTTCACTCCCAGCCAACAGGACACTGTCTATAATGTCCGTAGACCAGCCAATCAGAAAGCCCAGATTGTTTACAGTCGACTGTTTGTGTGTTTAACAGCCAATCAGGAAACTGAACAGTTGGCTGTAGACATCCGTGGTAAACGCACCGCGCTGAGCTCTCCAAATCACAGAATGTAGGAGTCTGTACTGACAACAAACATATTATATGGATGTGGTATTTTCTACGATCTGGACGTATGCGCTTCCGGTCGCGTGGGGCTGCGTGGCTGCGTGCGCCTCTCTGCAGACCACGTGTTCCGCTTCGGGGTCAAAACAAACTTTAGGCTGGAGATTGGAGTTGTGGACGTCTTTACCTGCGAAAAGCCTAAACTTCACCAGTACGTGTTTAAAAAGGTAAGCTCGTCGTTTATCCTAGCTTAGTGTCATTGTGGTAGAGGCGTTTATTTAGTGTGTTTACTACTTTAAACATAAAATCACAGCAATGGTGACGAAGCAGGTGGGAGGGGCCAGATAACGAAACATTTTAAAGGTTTGGATTAAAACTGTATTATATTTTTCAACCGTTTAAATCTACGAGCAACCTGTTGTTCTAGTGGTATTAATACTAGTATTTCTACTAGGATTGGTAATATTAAAAACACGTAATCACTCCATGTGGCGTTTGCAGTTTGTGTTGGAAAGCTGCTGCTGCTGCTGAAAATATGTTCTACTAGAATTTATTCATCATTCTGCTTTAAATGACTTTATGTCACCATATTTAGGTCATGCATAACATAAATGCATCTTAGTTCATCATCAGGTGCTCATATCATCTGTTGTCTAACAGGCTCATGGATCCACTGGTGCAGCTGAATCCCTGCATCCATTGAGCCATGAGCCTGTTGGATAACTTATCAGACAAAGGAAATGTTTTATTTGTTAAACACCTGATGAATCAGAAGCCTTTTCCTTATGCATGACTTACTGACCGCCTCAGTTGGTTAAAGAAATGGGATCTAAACAAGTTTCTGTGCACAGGTCTGGAGATGACAACTCCAGGGATTCGTGTTGCCAACCCAGGAGCTCCCCTGAATCGCCAGCGTGCCGTACTCCTGGCCACCAAGGAGTCTGGCCTTTATAGGGACAAAAAGCTGTGGTTTCCTGTGTCCCATCCACAGCTGTTGTACCAGGCCACTGCCCTCGAGTGTGCAGAGAAGCTCCTCAGAGCCGACGGCGTCTCTTCACCAACGCGACAGCAGCGTCTGGGGAAGCTGGTGTTGCCATTCGGCCAGAATCAGAATGCCCCCTTCCACTGGCTCGTTGAAAACGATGTTGGCTACATGAAGTGGTAAGTAGATGTGATCAAACAGGAGGATGGCACACCCTGATTTTATTTTTATTTATTCAAATTTGTTCAAAATCAGCATTGCCTGTTATTACAATTAAAGCATCGTTGACGAGCACAGATTGGAAACGTCTAACCCGCACAAGAAAGGAGACGCCGTGAACCAGTGGGTGAAAGACTTTCTGACCGAGTACACAGAGAGCTTCCCTCAAGTGTCCAACACGCTGGAGGCCAACGTCGACCGCTGCATCCACGGTCAGACGGGGTTTGAGCATCTCACTTTTGAGGAGATGTGGGACCTCTATAGCAACTTCTCCATCCAGAAACGGGAACCGGAGCGTTTCACTCAGGAGCAGAAGGAGACGATCCAGAGAGCTCACACGTCTGTGACGAGATGGCTGAACACTCCGGTGACTCGTTCCACAAGTGTGCAGATGAGGAGGTTCAGGAAGTATGTCCATGACAGGAAACAAGTGAGTGCTGTGATGAAAGCCGCCATACATGTTAGACAAGAAAAAACATTTAACACAATTTTAATTGATGCTTTTCCCGTTTCCTCAGCAGGAAGAATCAAGCTCCTCCCAGAGAGACTCTCTGTCGTCGCTGGATAATGATGATGAGGATGCAGAAAAGGTGGCTGCTTCTGTGGAAGGTAAGAGGCAGGAAAAAAATGGGTCACACTTTGAGTTTAAGTGATGCACATTGCAAAGCTGTTGTGGTCTTTTAGACTCCCTCACCTCAGAGCGCCCAGTAACAGGAGACGCAGAGACCAGGAAGCTGCTGAAGACTTGCTGCTCCTGCTTCTACAGCTGGTGTAGGTCCTCCTGGCCCCTCTGCTCCTGCTGGTCCTCCTGGTCTCGCGTCCGCTGCTGGATCTTCTGCTGCTGTGTTGGACCCACACATTGCTGAATCCAAGCTGCTCTTGCCGTCTGGGAAGAGGCAGCAAAAAAGCAGCACATTAAATCCAGACGAGGACACTTTCCAACAGCAGCAAGACGCAGACGTCCCACCCCAGCATTCTACATCTTCTGATGTAAGCAAAACCAGAAATAACGCGTTATTGTTGCAGATTATGTTAACAGTTATGTTTGTTCATCATCATCGGGGTTATTTGTGTCCCACATATCAGCGATGAGGCAGTTTAAAGTCCCTGTGTTGCAGGGGGAGCTTGACTGGGTTAAAGTCTGGCAAGATGAGGGGGGTATCCCGTGTGCTGACCAGACGTGGCTTAGGGAGGACCAGGAACGAGGCCTCTACACGCCCGCTCGTGTCTACAGGGATGAAAACGGTTTCCTCAAGAATCGCCGGGATATTAGATCAGACCCACCGGGCTTCGTTGGAGGAGCTGTCCCTGGACCTCAGCTCTTTTTCCGCAGCAGGGTGTTTGTTTGGAGACCTGTTGGGGTCTGGAGATGCTCCCTGAAGTGTCCGCGTGGAGATGAGTGCGCGGGGAAAGGACACGATGTGTACCTGTACAAATCTGGCTTCCATCACCAGGTTTGTCTCATCAGAAATTAACAGAATATATATGACTTTGCACGTAAAACAAAGTATGAAACAACTTTTTCACAAGAAATCTCATCTGTCCCACAGGTACGACACATCTGTGACGTGTCCAGCTGGAACACGCTGCTGACTGACGTGCTGTGCTGCGGGCCGTGCACCAAGGCTGCCGGAGCTGGAGGAGGAGGCACCGTGGGTCGGTGGCCTGCGTGGGACCCTGCTGTGTCCCAGCTTAGCGAGGCTCACCAAGCTGCTTTTCCTGCTGTGCTCACGAGCGAGTGAGTCTGGTCTCCACCTGTTAGTTCTGCTAGTAAGGTTTGTCTGAAAGGAAACTGAACATTTTTACTCTAACAGGTGCTGGGTGGATAAGAACGTAGTGCGGCTTTTCCATGACAGAACCGAGGACAACGCCATGGTCAAGGTGTGGAGCCTAATCCAAGAATACCACACGGGCGAGCATCTTCACCGTATAGATCTGTATACCACGCTCTTGATGACATTACTGTAGCCTGGGGGGGCCACTTCAGCTTTCCGCCACAAGTTTGAGCCCCCACCTCCTGCCAGAGAGCTGCCCTCAGCACAGCTCCTTCGCCAGGTCTTTCTCCTGGCAGAGGCCCAGAATGTGCTGGACCACAGGGCTCAGATCCCGTCAACATCTGGACCCGCACTGAGCTTCCACGCCACCAGACAGCCAGTCACCAAGCTGACATCCATCTCAGCGGCTGACATTCCTCCAACACCTCTTCAGCCTGCTGTCCTCCCTCCACCAAGTTACCCTGTGACTGACTTTAAATTCAAAGAGAGCACAGCAGGGACCAAGGACTCGAAGAGGACAGACCTCGTGATGCCAGTCTCCCGGTCTGCTCCCCAGCCACAGCCTGGATCACAGACTCCTATGAGATGTGAAACCGTTGTGGCCTCCTCCGCCTCTCTAGTCTCTAAATCCCCTGGGCACGCAGTCAGGCCCATTCTGCCTAAGGTGACCCCTGTTCAGTCCAGCTCTGTGTCTTCCCAGCCTCCTGGGGCCACCGCTACCTCGTCTCCATCCCCATCGTGGTCCAGGGCCATGCTTTACAAACGGAAACAAAAGGTGCTTTCCTTCTTGGTGGGGTGGGAAAAAATCCAGGGTTCAAAACAACCCTGTTTGCACGATCTGTGGACAGATGACCCAGAGACACAACAAATACAAAAAGAAGACCTTCTGCCCTGTAAAAAAGATGTCCACATCAAAAGGTCTCACGGGCATCAAGTTTGAACGTTTTGAGGACTTTCAGTTGGCTGTTGACTCCAAAGATGCTGCTGTTTAGTTTTTGTTGTGTTTGGTTCAACACGTTAGCCCTGCAGAGCAGGTTGGAGCTCGTTTGATTTGCACCGACGCAGAACTGCAGCTGTGGTTTTTATTTCATTTTGTACACAAGATAAAACTTGTGACTTTAGTATTTTTTGCACTAATTGATGCTGTTTGCCAGCTGTGACGTTCTTTTGTATTTTTTTACACTATTAAAGCTTGTTACTATCATTTAAATGTTTAAATATTTGCTCTTTCCACTTTTTAATAAAATATCTGTAGCAGGACAGCGAGTGTCCTGATGTGTCTTCTAGACTTAAATTACAGAGTCACGCTGAAAAATTACAGGGTACAGGGCTGCATGGTTGCGCAGTTGTTGGCACTGTTGCCTCGCAGCAAGAAGGATGCAGGTTTTAAACCCGGATGCGGTCTTTTTGCGTTGCGTGTTCTCCCCATGCATACGTGGGTTTCCTCAGGGTACTCCGGTTCCCCCACATATCACAACATGCCCTATAGGTTGACTATTGTACATCACCTTGGATAAAAGCATCTGCCACATAAATAAATAAACATACACATGTTGTTTGTATGGTTTTATATAAACTTACAAGCAGATGAGTCTGAGGGAAAATACAGCAGATTTGTGTCAACACGATGTTTTGAGAGAGATCCAAGTGCTTAAAATAAAATAAACGCTCTCCATAAAGTAAGATACGCTTTGAATCAAAGGCAGGATTTTAAGCCCACAGCTGAAGAATGTTCCATCATTTTGGAAAACATCAAAGTCTGTTTTTAAACGAGCCGATTAAAAATCATCGTCTCCCCTGACCACTAGCCTTCCTCAACACCACATCCTCATTAAAGAAATCATGCAGTAGTGCAATGTCTACAGACGGTTCTTCTTCCTGATTGGCTGCGGGCAAAATGAGGTTCCTTCGTCTGACTCAGAATGAATTACCTCATGTTATTATTTTAGATGTAAGTTAAGTTGAGCTTTTGTCTGTTAGTTCAATGTACCATCTTGGAAAATCTCTTCCTATTCTGATTAATTAGGTCATTAATACATTCTGTACTTATTAATATGTCACAATAAACAATTGCACTGACTGATCTGAACATCGACCTGATTTTAGAATAAGTGATGTTTAATAACATTTCTTTTGCACAAGTCATCAGGGGAGAGCGCAAACGCAGTCCCCCACTACCAGAAATTATGCAGTCGAGATTCCCACATTTGGGGCCTCAGGTCCAGGATGCAATGTCCACAGTCGACTACAGACAGTTCGGCTTCCAGATTGGCTGCTCGTCCAGGGTCGACTGCGGACAGTTTGGGCTCCCGACTGGCTGGTCCACAGTCACTGTAGGAGAGAGACCCGCGATTATCGCTTTGTCGCGCATGTCTCATTGAAAATGAATGGAGGAGAGGCGATGTCGCCTCCCGTGTGTCGAGCCCAAAACCCGTCAAAAAAATTGCTTCCTGCCACAAGGTAAAGCCAGGCACGGACGGGGTTCGAACCCGCGATCTTCGGTTTACGAGACCGACGCCTTACCACTTGGCCACCGCGCCTAGTAATCCAAATCTGTCATTCCTTATATATTTAAAGAAAGTTCAAAATCACGACACGATATTGCGTTCCGGTACTAGTAATGTACACCGAACCACACATATGGCTTCTCGATTACGTGGTCAATATGTAAATTAAAGCCCTGTTCAGAAACAGAAAGGACAAACTTTGGATAGAGGTTTAACATGATGGCGGAGTATGCCATCGAACGTAAACCTTCATTACGTTGTATACAATAGTCCACTTGTAAACAACAGCACTTGTTTGTAACAATTGCTTATACCTCCGACGTTTCCTTTGTACAATATTAAAAATTATGTGATGTGTTTTTACTACTTTAGATTTCGAAGAAAATTAGAATCAAACAGGATTTTATGGAATTCTCATGCAAGCCGGGGGGATTGTTGACGAGGGGCACAAATACGTCCGGAAGTAGATGGTTCACTGGTAGCTTTGATTTCAATGCTTATGTAGACATAAAACACAGGAATGTTATATTCTGCTTTTCACAAATGAGATGTCAGAAGAACCTTCCGGGTCATTTATTGTTAAAGATCTTGTTGTTCTGTAAGTAATGACGTTTTAACGCAGTTTTACACTGTTAACAGTGGTTTAGCTAGCTAGCGTACAGCTAATGCGAATAATATTTTCAAGTGTCGGCTAACTTGGGCGCAGTGAATAATTACACTGAAAAAATCTGAGCAGGTTTTCACGCTGACACGTTTCTGTCAGCATATTTTAACAACATGTCAAGCTTTATAAGTTAGAAGTTTTAGAATTTTTTCACTGCCAAAAGTATCTTGTAGTAAAATTTCAGTGTAACATTTCGATCTAAAACAAACACTAGTGGGACTGGGTTCCTGTAATTCATGATCAAGTTAACCAGTCTGGACTTTTCATGTTTATTTATGAAAATGTACGATTAGCTTCTGGCAACAATAATGAATAAATAATAACAATAAATAATAATAATAATAATAATAATAAGGAATAACCACTCTTGGGGGATTGCATTCAGTTAGATTTTATTTATCTTTCAATATTTCTATAAAATAAATAGCCTTAATGTGTCTAGATGGAGCTGAAGTATTTGATCTGACAGTGTTTCTTCCAGATTTTGACAAAAACTGAAGGAACTATAGCTGAGCCGCCCCCTCCTCCCCACCCTTCACCATGCCGCTGGTGGTGGATGCCGTGTGGGCGCTCTGGAGCATCGGGGCCGGAATTTATGACTACTTCCACACCAGTGCCATGGAGGAGAGGATCCACGCTCTGGAAAATGTCCTGTCCATCCACCAGTTTGTGATTGCCATCTTGTCAGCAGGCCTCATCCTGCTTATGACCTACATACTGCTGAGAAAACACTGAGACCTAAGTGACCGGCCTGAATCTTGGTTTGGGTCCTGATGATGGCAGTGCTGACAGTCTGCCTCATGATATTTGAAGATCGAGTGCCAAATAAGGTCAGCAGCACTGATGGGCACTTTAAACCAAACATGCAGTTTGTGAAATGTGGTTTTCTGGTAGCTTTTCCTGTCAGTCCTTGTGTTTTCTGATGTTAAACTAGCTCTGCTGGGCATTGTTAAATCAGAAGTATAACAGCTTATTGAAGCAAGTGTGCACTTTAACAGTTTTACTGATCTTGGAGCTGCATTAGCTGTTTTTATCTATTCATCCATTGCCCTCTCTTTTGCCATCAAGTGTGTTGTTTCAGTTTAATATCAGAATATTTTTCTAAAATTCATCTGCATGGACATTTAAAATATTTATCATGTAGTAGTTGCTGGTATTTTAACTCAGACATGGACATTTAACACTGATTTAGATAAAAAAAACAGGGTGGAAGAAATTATTAGATTTTTTCACTGTTGTCTGAATTTGAATGGAAATGTGTAGCTTTGTGGTTTGAGTCTGATGGTTTTAAAGTCAGGAAGCAATCCTGAATGCTTGTCCTGTCTTTCCTTTCTGTTAAAATGAACTCATTGTTAAGTTGTGTTTTGTCACCATCACTGTTCCTGTTTATTGGGTATTTGCTCATTTAGGCCCTACTGTTATGTACTCATGGTCACTAAAATTAAAAGGGAATATGTTTGAATAATCTGTCAGTTTGAGCTGTTATTTGACTGGTTTGTCTATTTTAAATAATCCATGTTTGTTGAATAAATTAAAGTGTGGTTTTTCAGTCTTAAACATAAGAAACAAATGTTCAGTTTTATTGAATTACACTCTGATTTTACAAACCAAATGCAGTCAAAACGTTTTAGAATCAGGATAATGTTATTTTCTTTGAAGTCATTGCAAATAATGAGTGACAGTTGTCTCATCAACTTTAATTTACCTTTAAGAAATATTAATTTATGCATTTAAACCTTGCATTGTGAGAGATAAGAAACAAAATAAAATTAGTAGAAAGGAGAAGCTGTAGAAAAGAACAGGATTATAACATTACAGTTAGAGGCTTCCGACTAATGAAATCTGCAAAAGAAAAGTTTTACATTTCAAGTTAAATAACAAAGACAAAAAATATAGAAGTGTCCACAACACATTTTATTTATATCCAGCAACAAACATTTTTTTATTTAATTTGTATCAATAGCATATTAAAGTGTGTGGTCACAAAAGGCAGAAAACAGTTGATACAAGAAATTAGAAGAATGTCTAAGAAATGTGTATTTTAAAAAGGGAAGAAATAAAATATGAAAGATTTGTGATTTATAAGCATCTTGTTATTTTGTTATATATATATATATATATATATATATATGTGTGTGTGTGTGTGTGTGTGTGTGTGTGTTAAGCATAAGCATGTATAGCATATATATATATATATATGTATAACATATACATTATATATATATATATATATATATATATATATATATATATGTGTGTGTGTGTGTGTGTGTATAACATACATAACATATATATATATATATATATATATATATATATATATATATATATATGTGTGTGTGTGTGTGTAACATACATAACATATATATATATATATATATATATATATATATATGTGTGTGTGTGTGTGTGTGTATAACATATACATAACATATATATATATATATATATATATATATATATATATATATATATATATATATATATATATATATAGTTGTGTGTGTGCGTGTGTGTGCGTGCGTGTGTGTTTTTATTAAAAATACAAGTATAACATGAAAACACGTTACTCCATATTTTCTGATTGATTGCAGGTTTATTATGATTTTCTTAACGTCGAACTCTGTATTTGTAATACTTTAGCAACATAAAAGGGGTGAGAAAATGATATACCGTAACTGTGTTGGGAGCACCCTCTCCTTTTATTTGACTTCAAATCAGCAAACTTGGCTTTCAGCGCTGCACGCTCCTCCTGCTTCTAATTTATAGATGACCAATTAAACCTTAGTAGTTCAAGAGCCAACGTCATGATTGGTTAAAAATATTAGAAGGCGGGATCTCCGAACACAAGTCGTCTCTGCTGCAGTACGTTTCCCAAAATGTTGATGAAAAAGGGCGGAACTGTGTAAAATTTACCTTCAAAATAAAAGCTATTGATTATGTGGCGTAACATTGTTGATGTTATGTGAAACCTATGGTATTTGATTACAACACAATGCAATTTTATCAGTATACAGATATCTTATGTATGTCAAAAGTGTAACTACTTTGCGTTTAACGAAAGTATATTTTGATGCACTTTTATTTTGAAAATATCAACCGGATAGGTTTTGTGGTGCTACTTTCCATCACCTTAACCCCAACTTGCTAAGTGGCACTCAGCTAGAATAATGTAAATTTAGGTTAATTCAATCATTCAAAACTACCAAAGACGTGTCAGTTTTCTAAACCAATATATTTCTTCGCAGCAGTGACTTTTATTTACGTTTTTTGGTCGGTGTGGTTAGGTTTTAGCACGATGCTAACCGGTTAGCCCGGGGTTTCCGCGTCAGCTCGCCGGAGGCTGTTCTCTTGTTTCGCGCATTTCAAGGTTCTCCGACATTTTAACGGTTAAACTGGTTTACTGGCGTCACATTGTCACTTTACCGGCGTGAAATACGGTATAAACTTTAATCACGAGTATTTAAAATGAAGATTGCGGGGTATCTCGTAAACGGGCGGTTTTCTTCTAACGCTGCCCTTTTGTTTTGACAAAGGAAGGGAGCTGAATTTCTGTCCTCTTATTTTCTCCTCATCACCTCAGATCAGGTGGTGGGGCAGCTGTCTTGGTTGTTTCTTTTAGTTTTGATAATGGCTCCTCAGAAGCATAGCTCCTTAGGTGGAGGCCATGTGGGTTTTGGTTCTGGAGGAAAAACCAACGGGTTGTACCAGCAGTCCTCCGCTACCAAGAAGCCCAACACGCAACTTCTGCAGGCCGACCACGAGTTGTTCCTGCAGGCCTTCGAGAGTGAGTTTCTGCTGTCACCAATCCTCATGTCTGTAGATATAAATCAAACGAGTTATTTTAGGATTACACGGAGTCTTGCGACTGAAGGAACAGATACCTGCAGCTGAACTCTCGTTGCCCTGACTGTCATCTAAAACTAATGTCAGCTCTTAGATTTTTGAATTTACTGTTTAATTGAAGTGTCACATGTGTGTTTTGTCAGGAACTATTTTTTTCCAAAGGCAGAAAGCTGGGTGATTAAATAAATCACCACAACACGCTTGTTGCTGCCAGTTGTTCTGTCATTTCCATTATTTAAATAAATACGTTTAGTTGTTTTAAATGTCATAATCTATGGAAATGGAAAAGCAAAGTGACACGTTTAGAGGTCAGTGGCAGATCTTTGATACTTGATCTAACAATTCTGCCACTGAGTAGTTTTAGTCCTAATGTTTTCTCTGATTTGATCTTTGTTTATAGTATTTTCTCTTGTAGGATGTATGACTCAGTCAGTGTGATGATTATATCCTTTTTTATTCCCAGAGCCAACACAAATCTACAGATTCCTCCGCACAAGGAATTTAATCGCTGTGAGTGTTTTTCCTCTCCTAAAGTCTCGTAATCAGCTGTAACTATAAACATAAACACCACCTCTCTGTTCTTCTGTAATTTCAGCCTATATTCTTGCACAGAACGTTGACGTATATGTCCCACAGAAACTCTAGGAGTAACTTCAGAAGGTAAAAACTCACTGACGCTGATTAGATTAGTGTGCTTTCATTGAGTTGACTTCACCAAACTCCCAGATGATTTTAGTTTAAATGAAGGGTGGTGCTGCTCAGTTTGCCTTTTGAAAGCAGGTCAGGCGCTACCACGAGTGGAAGTAGACTGACATGGCAGCTGCTGTAGGTGGAGGCCTGTTAGATCAGTTACAGCTGAGGTAGAAGAAGCATTTTTCAGTTGGGCTGCTTTGCATAAAGGAGCTGCACAAAAGGGTTGAGACTGTATCGGAGGGGTGTGAGATTACAGAGCACGTGGATGGTGGGCTGCAGGTAGAGCAGTTGCTGAATTTAGATGAAGCTGTGCTAGGATAGAAGTTGGTTATTGGTTTATATAATGTGCCTTGGGTAGATGTGTGTGTGTGATTTAGTAAGGAACTGAAGTGAATGCTGTCCCCTTCTGAAACTGGTTATTGCTGACATCTGCAATAATTAAAATTGAGAGAATGCTACTGCTGTTAAATAAACTGTGTGTTTTCATGAGCTGGAGTGGAGTTTATAAAGCTGGTGTTTTCTGCTTCTTGGCTCAGTTTCAGTTTCTGCTGAACTCGTGCGTACCTCGCTCTCAGCTCATGGTTTGAGACGAACTGTCTGTTCAAAGAGAAGTTTCACGATTGTTAAAGTTGCAAAGTGTAGATCAACATAAACTACAAGAACAGACATGAGTTGGATTCTACAGATTAGATTTAATGCACATTTTTTGTTGTGAAGCAGCACTGATGTAGGCTTTTCTGAGTTTGCTTTCTGCATCTTATGTTTATCTGCAGCTGTTTCTTTGAATCGCTTAAATGTTGGATTCTAAATAACTTTGAGAGCACTTGGCCGACATTGCACACATAAAATACTCTTTTTTCATTTTGAGAACATCCTAGTAAAACTTTGAAGCCACAGAGGAAAGTGCCAGATTTCACAGATTTGGACACAAGTACATTTTTAGGATCTGGATGTTGTTGCTCTGCAGCCAAATGCGGTGCAGCCTCCATGTTGAACGTTTCATGTGAATAAAGCATTCATTCTGTGATGTTGAGTCTGTACGGATGCTTGAAAGGTTGTTTTGACTCCTGCAGGGTTCTGCAGAGGCTCACAGCTGTTTCCAGTTTCTGCAGCTTCTTCTTAGACGTTCTGAGTTAAATATGGCTGAATGTGAGGCCGCTGGACTTTGCACTAATGGCTCTTTACACCCCAGGAACAGACCAACACAAACTTGTGCCAGATGGGCATGCTTTCCTTTTTATTTCACGTCTGCATACAAACACTGATTCAGGTTAACAGTTCAGCCAGTTAAACAGAATTTTTTCTAACTAGCATAAGTTCTATTACACAAGTTTAGTTGGTCTATTACCAGCAAAGTGTTTCTATATCTTCATGGGAAACAAAAGTCATGGATACGTCATGAAGATGTTCAGCAGAACCTGAATCAACTGAAAGCTTTTAAGACATCGGACTTACTCATTAGGTTCATTGCAGGCCAGCTGTTGAGCAGCGTTGTTTGCAGGTAACATAATTGTCTCTCATTTCAAATTAGCTTAAACTTGTGGTTCACTCCAGTCAGGACCAGTTTAGTATCTGCTGGTGTCGTTTGGTTCCGCTGGTCTAAACCAGCAAACGACTTTGTGAACTTCCTCCAGTTTTGTTTATTTTCACAGAGAAAGCAGCAAACAAACAAGAAGTTATCAAAATGTATTTCATCTGCTACGTCCTGTTGAACCAGCATCATGTCTGTCGGTGGTTGGGAGGTCAGTGAATGACCACGGTAGTTGAAGTGGTAAGATGATGTGTCAAACCTGTTCTAGCCGGAGCCGCCCGAGGGTGTTTTCACACCTTCGGTGTACCTTCACTCTAGCGGCGTACGGCCGTTGTTGGTGTTGTGCTGAAGCCATGTTCTCACTATAAATGAACCGCTCTGGAGTTCATATGGAACCGTTTTGAGGCTGTGGCCTCTAGGAGGTCCCTGTTTGGTTGTTCTGGTCCGAACCCTGGTGTGATTAGTGTTCACAACTGCACAAACGAACCACACTGAGGGGGGAGCGTGCCAGGACTGGATTTAAACAGACAAAACCCTGCAAGTGTGAAAATAAACACTAAACACTTTCACAGGCAAGATGCAGGTTCAACATGCCAAATCAGAAGAAATAAGCATTAACAGATAATAATGTGTTAATAACCGAAGGGTGCGGCAGGCGCAGATGCTCCCAATGACCTGTCTGGGGGAGGGTGGAGGCCTCATGAGAAGAGTTTGAATCTGAATGTTTTCATCTTGGATGATGGCTAGCCGTTGATCTTTGTTCCAATTCACAGGAAAACCTTCAAGGCAGACGACCTGTTGTTTAAAGTGGACAAAATGAGAGGGGAGCAGGAGACGCTCAGGTAGGCCGCAGAGGATTTATCTCTCTTTAGGCTGAAATGATGCGACTAACGTTAAACTCTTGTCTCCCTTCAGCTTGGCCTCTAATCTGCAGCTCACATTTACTGGCTTCTTTCACAAGGCTGGTGAGTTTTCCCTCCTCGTTGCATGTTGGCAGCTGTTCTTCACTAACGGGAAGCGTTTCGGTCCTGTGTTTTAGGAAAACCATCTCAGGACAGTGAGAATGAGCAGCACTCTGTTTCTCTAGAGGTTCTACTGGTCAAAGTCTGCCACAAGAAGAGGAAGGTGTGTGTGTGCGTGAGTGTGTGAGTGTGCGTGCGTGAGTGAGTGAGTGTGTGAGTGTGTGCATAGAAAAGGCAGAGGACCTAAGGAAGTCTTAGTTTTATTTCCAGGTTTGACGGAGGTTTCCGCTCTCGTTTAGGACATCAGCTGTCCAGTGAAACAGATCCCGACGGGCAAGAAGCAGGTTCCTCTGAACCCAGACACCAGCGCGGGAGTCCAGGCCAAGCCCGGCTCCCTCCCATCTCTGCTGGTTCCCAGCAGCGAGTTTGAGCCCAGCAACTCCCACATGGTCAAGTCCTACTCATTACTCTTCAGGGTGTGGCGGCCTGGATGCCCTCGACCACAAATCAACGGTTTAACAAACGGAGAGAACCACCAGATCAGAGGTGAGCAGAGGGAACATTTCCACCTGAGCCTTAAAGGAGAAGAAGCTTGATAGTTTAAGAAGAAACGACCCAGATTAACCAACATGGTTCTTTTGCTCTGCTGAACTGTTTAATAAGTCTGGATAAGCAAGAGCAAGAGAATAAGGAAAACATTTGGTAGAAACCCTTCTAAATGCAATGTCCCCCGTTGTCCCTGTTTGAGGGAGCTGTGATGAAGACCTGCATCTTTGTGTCTGTCTCAGAATTTTCAGATGAAGCCGTCAACAGGAAGAGGAGGAGCTCTGCTCTGAGGGAGGAGGGAGAAATCATGTTTGTGGCTCAGATGACAGTGTTTGATAAAAACAGGTGAAAGGCGTTCACACCAACTGTCTCTGAGTTGCTGTCTGACATGGGAGGAAATGTGTGTGTGTGTGTGTGTGTGTGTTTAGACGTCTGCAGCTGCTGGATGGAGACTACGAAGTGTCCATGCAGGAGATGGAGGAGTGTCCTGTTAGTAAGAAGAGGGCGACGTGGGAGACCATCCTGGATGGAAAGGTGTGCTTTACCTCAGCTTGTTACCCCGTATGTGCCGTATTGACCCGAATATAAGACGAGGATTTTTTCATTGAAAATAATTTTAAAATGTGGGGTCGTCTTATAATCAGGGTCTTTTTCTTTTCTTTTTTTTTAACCGTGTCCTGTCTGGCTGTGAAGCAAGCAGAATTGATGTCTGAATGCTGGTAACAAGCCTTACAGATTTACTCTCAGGTGGAGCTTCAAAGCGTCAGTGGGCGGTTCGGCCCTTTTCAGCTCCAGGCAGACTGAAAAGATGTCCGACTGTGCACGGAAATGAGAAAACTCCCAGCCTGGTCCAGGCGGAGTGGAGCTGATGCTAGTGTGTAAGGGCTATAAGTGTGCCAAGAAAATGTTACCCACACCATTACACCACCACCACCAACCTGAACCGTTACAAGGCAGGATGGACCCACACTTTCATGTTGCTGACGCCAAATTCTGACCCTGCCATCCAGATGTCGCAGCAGAAATCGAGAGTCATCAGACCAGGCAACATTTTTCCAATCTTCTGTTGTCTAATTTTGGTGAGCCTATGTGAATTGTAGCCTCAGTGTTCTGTTGTTAGCTGACAGGAGCGGCACGTAGTGTGGTCTTCTGCTGCTGTAGCCCGTCTGTCTCACGCTCCAATGTGTTGTGCATTCAGATGTGCTCTTCTGCATGCTTTGGTTGTAACGAGTGGTTATTTGAGTTACTGTTGCCTTTCTATCAGCTCGAACCAGTCTGGCCTTCTCCTCTTTTTTGCCCACACACTGGATGTTTTCCCTTTTTCGGACCATTCTCTGTAAACCACAGAGATGGTTGTGCGTAATAATCCCAGAAGATCAGCAGTTTCTGAAATACTCAGACCAGCCCGTCTGCAACCAACAACCGTGCCGTGTTCAAAGTCACCTACATCACCTTTCCTCCTCGTTCTGAAGTGCGATTTGAACTGCAGCGGTTTTGAGTCTGAATTTGAATGTGGTGATGGAGTCTGAACCATTTCAATTTCTGTCAACTTTATGTGATTGAAGTGATGTTTTGCATTCTGTCTGCAGCGTTTGCCTCCATTTGAGAGTTTCTCTCAGGGACCGACCCTGCAGTTCACTTTACGTTGGACCAGCGACCCGACTGATTGCTCCACTGCTCCTGTGGCCAAACCTTTAGCCACCCGCAACTCTGAGACCAATCAGGATGCCAGATCAAGCACGATGAGAGCCACACACACTCAGGGTGAGCTCAGCTAACTGAGCGTCTCGCTGAGCTGTCCCGGCAGAAAGAACTGATGTTTGTGTGTCTCACCTGCAGCCATCAAAGAATCCATGAATGCTCACTTGGAAACCAGGAGGGAGCAGATCTTGTCAGAACCTCGGCAGAAACTACAGATCTTCTACCAGGTTAAAGGTCACCCGATACATGCCTTGAGAGGATTCTTTGGATTCGTCTCAAAATAGATGTTTTGTGTTCAGTTCCAGTACAACAACAACACGAGGCAGCAGACGGAGGCCAGAGACGACCTCCACTGCCCCTGGTGTACGCTCAACTGCAGGAAGCTGTACAGTCTGCTCAAACACCTCAAGCTGTCCCACTCACGCTTCATCTTCAACTACGTGGTGAGACAGACGCACGCCGAAAAGCTTTAAATATCACATGGGATCGTCCAGAAGCCGTACCTGTGTCAGTTCAGTGGTTTTGGTCTCCAGGTTTTTCTGAGAGGTTGAAATGTTTTAGTTTCATTTAAAAATGTCTTAATAAGGATGAAGTTTTTTGTTTTACCAAAACTTTTCCTCAAAGAGAAATGTTTGTAAGTCACATTTTTGTCTTAAAGATAAAGCTTTAGATATCGGAGTAAGAATTTATCAAATAAAAAGCAGCTTTTAGTGTATCAAGTGTGTTTTTCTGTCAGAAGGATGTTTGGTTTTTATTTCCTGTTGATATCTGTGCATGTCTCTGGTTTCCGGCAGCCCCATCCTAAAGGAGCGAAGGTGGAGGTCTCCATCAATGACTGTTATGACGGTTCCTACGCCGGAAACCCCCAGGACATCCACAACCAGCCGGGCTTCGCCTTCAGCAGGAATGGACCTGTCAAGAGGACTGCGGTCACCCATGTCCTGGTCTGCAGGTACCACAGCTCTCAAGTCCTCTAATTCAGTCACATCCTGCTGGGATCAGGATTCACCCACCGTCCACTCCTGTCCAGACCCAAGAGAACAAAGCCCAGCCTGTCTGAGTTCCTGGAGCTGGAGGACAGCGACAGGGAGCAGCACCAGAGGACCTACATCAGTGGTCACAACCGTCTGTACTTCCACAGCGACTGCTGCTGGCCAATGAGGCCCCAGGAGATGGAGGTGGACAGCGAGGACGAGAGGGACCCTGACTGGCTCAAAGAGAAGACGGCGAAGGTGAGCAGCTGTCAGACACCATCTTGAATCAGATATGTGACCGTAATGGAGCCAGGAGACCCCAGAAAGGCACTACGCCCTCTGTTGTCCTGGTGGGGAATTGTTTTCAACACTCCCCAGTTGAAAAACAAGTCTGAAAACGTCTCTGCCAATGTGTGTGTGATTCCACACTTGAGCTGATGGAGAAGTATAAATTAGGCTTTAAGGATATCTAAAGTTAAATGAAATCAAATCCTTCACTGGCTGATTTAACCGTTTTAGCGCTGAGGCTGAGTGATTTAAACCCCGATCCAGTCTGACCGGGTTTCTCTCTGCAGCAAATCGAAGAGTTCACTGACGTAAACGAGGGGGAGAAGGAAATCATGAAGCTGTGGAACCTGCATGTCATGAAGCATGGGTGAGGTTTACTGTCACTTTCGCTAGCTCTCACTAGGGTTGTCACGTTGTGAAAGTTTAACCTCACGGTTATTGTGACCAAAATAATCACGGTTTTCAGTATTATCGCGGTATTTTTTTTAAACGTGTTACATTTTCAGACAACTAAATAAACCCTGTATATCAGTGAAATATCATTCTCAGTTTGTGTCTAAATTTAGCCTAAAATGTGTTATTTTGTAATTATGTTGTTTATTTGTTTACATTTTTTCCCCTTTAGTCTTTAACATACCAATGTTTACCCATAACTTCTTATGTTTTGTCTGTTTGATGTCATCATTTTAAAAATATTAGACCAGACGATACTCGGTACTCAAGTAGCCTTCTACTCAGATACTTTTTTACCCTTATTTGAGTAATAAACCCTATATCAGGAAAATATTGTCCTCGGTTTGTGTCCTTCCAGTGAGCTTTGCCGATTTGGGAAAATGTCATCAGGCAGTATTCATTGTCGTCGTCGTCTTCCTCCGCTTATCCGGGTCCGGGTCGCGGGGGCAGCATCCCAACTAGGGAGCTCCAGACTGTCCTCTCCCCGGCCACCTCCACCAGCTCCTCCGGCAGAACCCCAAGGCGTTCCCAGACCAGATTGGAGATGTAACCTCTCCAACGTGTCCTGGGTCGACCCGGGGGCCTCCTGCCGGCAGGACATGCCCGAAACACCTCCCCGGGGAGGCGTCCAGGAGGCATCCTGACCAGATGCCCAAACCACCTCAACTGACTCCTTTCGATCCGGAGGAGCAGCGGTTCTACTCCGAGTCCCTCCCGAATGTCCGAGCTCCTCACCCTATCTCTAAGGCTGAGCCCGGCCACCCTATGAAGGAAATTCATTTCGGCCGCTTGTATCCACAATCTCGTTCTTTCTGTCTTTACCCAAAGCTCATGACCATAGGTGAGGATTGGGACGTAGATCGACCGGTAAATCGAGAGCCTGGCTTTCTGGCTCAGCTCCCTCTTCACCACGACAGATCGGCTCAGCGTCCGCATCACTGCAGACGCCGAACCAATCCGCCTGTCGATCTCCCGATCCCTCCTACCCTCGCTCGTGAACAAGACCCGAGATACTTAAGCTCCTCCACTTGAGGTAGGACCTCTCCCCTGACCCGGAGTTGGCAAGCCACCCTTTTCCGGTCGAGAACCATGGTCTCAGATTTGGAGGTGCTGATCCTCATCCCAGCTGCTTCACACTCAGCCGCGAACCTACCCAGCAAGAGCTGAAGGTCAGAGCTGGATGAAGCTAGGAGGACCACATCATCCGCAAAAAGCAGAGACGAGATTCTCCTGCCACCAAACTCAACACAATCCACACTACGGCTGCGCCTAGAAATTCTGTCCATAAAGGTAATGAACAGAACTGGTGACAAAGAGCAGCCCTGGCGGAGTCCAACCCTCACCGGGAACAGGTCCGACTTACTACCGGCTATGCGGACCAAACTCACGCTCCTCTGGTGAAGGGACTGAATGGCCCTTAACAGAAAGCCACCCACCCCATACTCCTCGAGCGTCCCCCACAGGGTGCCCCTGGGGACACGGTCATAAGCCTTCTCCAAATCCACAAAACACATGTGGTTTGGTTGGGCAAACTCCCATGCCCCCTCCATCAACCTTGCAAGGGTATAGAGCTGGTCCACAGTTCCACGGCCAGGACGAAAACCACATTGCTCCTCCTCAATCTGAGATTCAACTATCGATCAGATCCTCCTCTTCAGTACCTTGGAGTAGACCTTTCCAGGGAGGCTGAGGAGTATGATCCCCCTATAGTTGGAACACACCCTCAGGTCACCCTTCTTAAAGATGGGGACCACCACCCCGGTCTGCCACTCCACAGGAACTGCCCCCGATGACCACGCAATGTTGCAGAGACGTGCCAACCATGACAGCCCTACAACATCCATAGCCTTGAGATACCCAGGACGAACCTCATCCGCCCCCGGGGCTCCACCGCTGTGTAGTTGTTTGACTACCTCAGCAACTTCTGCCCCAGAGATCGGACAGTCCATCCCCAGGTCTCCCGGCTCTGGTTCCTCCTCAGAATGCGCATAGGTGGGATTGAGGAGCTCCTCAAAGTATTCCTTCCACCGCCCAACTATAGCCCCAGTTGACGTCAGCAGCTCCCCATCCCCACTGTAAACAGTGTGAGCGAGTTACTACCTTCCTTTCCTGAGGCGCCGGACAGTTTGCCAGAACCTCTTTGGAGCCGATCGATAGTCTTTCTCCATGGCCTCACCAAACTCCTCCCACGCCCGAGATTTTGCCTCGTCAACTGCCACTGCTGCACCCCGCTTGGCTATCCGGTACCTGTCTGCCGCCTCCCGAGACCCACAGACCAGCCACACCCTGTAGGCCTCCTTTTTCAGCCTGACGGCTCCCCGAACCTCTGGTGTCCACCAGCGGGTATGGGGGTTGCCACCACGACTGGCACTGGCCACCTTGCGACCACAGCTGGCAACAGCCGCCTCAACAATTGCAGAGTGGGTCATGGCCCACTTGGAGTCAATGTCCCCCACTGCACTCCGGACGCGATCAAAGCTCTGCTGGAGGTGGGAGTTGAAGACTGTCTTAACAGGTTCTTCTGCCAGGCGTTCCCAGCAGACCTTCACTATGTGTTTGGGTCTGCCAGGTCTACGCGGCATCTTCCCCTGCCATCTGATCCAACTCACCACCAGGTGGTAATCAGTTGACAGCTCCGCTCCTCTCTTCACTCGGGTGTCCAAAACATACGGCCGCAGGTCAGATGATATGACTACAAAGTCTATCATCGACCTAGGCTGCCCTGGTACCAAGTGTACCGATGGGCATCCTTATGTTCGAACATGGTGTTCGTTATGGCCAAACTACGGCTTGCACAGAAGTCCAATAATGAAACACCACTCGAGTTCAGATCAGGCGGGCCGTTCCTCCTAATCACACCCCTCCAGGTCAAGCTGTCATTGCCCACATGAGCATTGAAGTCCCCCAGCAGGACAATGGAGTCCCCTGATGGAGCACTATCTAGCACTCGTCCCAGGGACTCCAAAAAGGGTGGGTACTCTGAACTGATATTTGGCCCATAAGCACAAACAATAGTCAGGACCCGTTCCCTGACCCGAAGGCACAGGGAACCTACCCTCTCGTCCCCCGGGGTAAACCCCAACACACAGGCAGAGTCTTGGGGCTAACAAAAAGCCAACCCCAGCCCTCCGCCTCTCACCCGGATCAACTCCAGCAAAGGAGTGTCCAACCCCTCTCAAGGACTTGGGTTCCAGAGCCAATGCTATGTGTCGAGGTGAGTCTGACTGTATCTAGTCGGTACCGCTCAACCTCTGCCACAAGCTCCTGCTCCTTCCCCGCCAGCAAGGTGACGTTCCATGTCCCAAAAACCAGTTTTCTTGTCCGAGGATCGGACTGCCAAGGCTCCCGCCTCGGTCTGCCACCCGATCCACAGTAATCATTGTTAAATTTATAATTATTCTCGGAGAGAGACCAACACTTAGCTGCCCTTGGGAGCCCCGTAATGCATAGCGTCATTTCAGTATGGGGGGTGTCCGTGACACGGTTTATATGCAGGTAGCGGCACTGCGGCTGCTTTATATAGCGACTCGTTGCATTCTCCCTCAACCCAAATCCTCGGATCACGCATTTTAGCTAAAACGCTAATGTTAGCTTGCCTTCCGTTGACTGTAGAGTTGTGGATGATGGCCACACAGATGTGTCATGAGATCTGAAGCGTTGCTGCCTTTCACAGACACTTTTTCTGCACGTGCTGCAAACAGGATAGCCGTCTTCTATCAACTGTCCCTTGGCATTCTTCAAATATCCCAAAAATGCCCATTTAACAGGTAGCCAATGTAGGGAAGCTAAGACAGGAGAGATATGATCTCTCTTTTTAATTCTCATCAGAACTCTAGCTGCAGCATTTTGGACAAGCTGAAGACTTTTAACTACATTCTGTGGACTTCCTGAGAGTAATGAATTACAGTAATCCAGTCTTGATGTAATAAATGCATGAACTAGTTTTTCAGCATCACTCCTGGAAAGTATGCTTCTAATCTTAGCAATATTCCGAAGGTGGAAAAAGGAAATCCTACAAACCTGTTTAACCTTGGATTTGAATGACATGTCCTGGTCAAAGATAACACCAAGGTTCTTTACTTTGTTCTCGGAGATTAATGTAATGCCATTCAGGTCAGGTGATTGGCTAAGCAATTTCCTTTTCTTGATTTCTGGTCCAAGGATGAGAACTTCTGTCTTGTCTTGATTTAAAAGCAAAAAGTTTAGAGTCATCCAATTTTTTATGTCCTCAAGACAAGCCTGTAATCTACCCAACCGATTAGGTTCATCAGGGTTAATGGATAAATATAGCTGAGTATCGTCAGCATAACAGTGGAAGTTTATCCCATGCTGTCTAATGATTTTACCAATTGGGAGCATATATATAGTAAAAAGAATTGGTCCAAGCACTGAACCCTGTAGTACTCCACAAGTAACCCTGGAGTATGAAGACGATTTGTCATGTACATTTACAAAATGAAATCTGTCCAGGGTGTCCGCGGGGTTTTAAAAAGTATTAAAAAGTGATAAATAAAAATAGTCAAATTTAAGGCCATTAAAAGTGTTAAATTTGGTCTCAGAGGTATTATTTTTTTCCAAATTAGGTATTATTTTTTTCAGACTATCAGATGTCGTATTCTGAACATCGACATAGAAATATATTCCGAATGAAATGTTTTGAACGATTATAAAAACAAAACAAGCCGATTATTTGCTCCTCCCACTTGCGCTGCCTTGAGGTGCAAATGAAGCGCTCCTCCCAGTGTTGCCAAGTTAACTTAGCGACTTTGACGCTATTTCTAGCAGCTTCTCAGACCCGCTTCTTGACTTTTTAAATCTTAAAAGTACCTAGCGAACACCTCAGAAACATCTCTGGTAACCCTTAGCTACTTTCTGGATAACTGTCGTCGACATTTCCTGCAGGTTAGCTAAACACTCCGCCTGCACTCCGGACCGTTCTTCAGGACATTAGGAAAGGGAATGATGTAGTGATGTGTCGGTCGCTAAAGACAGCTCTCGGAGCCGGCTCCTTGTTGGAGTAACCAGGGTGAGTGACACACACACCGTACCTGCGGGCTCCTGAGCCGATAAAAACGGCTAAATGTGCGCGTGCGGCGCGCTAAACATACGTGCAGCTTGCCCCTGATTGCTGTGAGACCGGGTTGGGGGGGTGGGGGTGCAGCTGTGGTTGGGGCAATTATTACATTTACTGATGGACTTGTAAATAAATAGTTTATAAATAAGGTAGAAATAAGTTCCTCACGCTGATAAATAACTAATCTCTCTGAGGACATGGTGCTAGTGCACTCCTACAGCACCTTGACATGACTTAATAAATTCTATGCAACATTTAGTGAACAGCAATTTGCATGTATTTGTTATAAATGCCACTGTATAATTCTTGCTGTCAGTATTTGCAAGATATTGGTACTTGGGTCTGTACTGGTTAGACTGAAATGAGTTAAACCAAGGTCTATAGCCCTTGGGTCATAAACTATGAGCTATAAGTATATTGGTCTTTTTATACTGGGAATCAGGAGTTATTTTAGTGATCATCTTGTTTCTTGTTTATTTTTGCCCTGATTGTGCCCTGAGCAGTTTTATGACTGAATAAAAATAAAAAAATAAAAATCTACATAAATTGAAAAATCGTCTTACATAATCGAGATCTCAATTTCAGTCACAATAATCGTGATTATTGTTTTTGCCATAATCGAGCAGCCCTACTTTAGCATATCCGGTCACATAATGATGACGTCATATTCAGTGGTCGTTGTGCATCATTTCAGGCCTCGTGGTCAACTGTCTGAACCGCTGAACAGAAGTGCCTGGCTTATTTTCTAAGTAAAATAAATATGTGCAATACGTTGTCAACATCAGTGAGTCTCTAAGTCTATTCTTTTTGTATGTTATATATGTTAAAATATTTGTAAATAGGTCGCTGATTAACACTTGCAATTTAGTGTTGTGATGGTTTTAAAAAAATTCTGAAGGTAGTAAAAAAAAGTATTAAAAAGTAGTAAATTTTACTTAAGGATTGCTGTATATACCCTGCTGTCAGACAGGTAGGATTTAAACCAGCCTAACGCTATTCCTTTGATCCCTACAGCATGTTCAAGTCTTTCTAAAAGAACATTATGATCAACTGTGTCAAAGGCAGCACTGAGGTCTAACAAGACTAGAACAGACACAAGATTCTTATCTGAGGCCATGAGAATATCATTTGTAACTCTCACTAATGCAGTTTCAGTGCTGTGATACTCTCTAAAACCAGACTGAAATTCCTCAAACAGAGCATTAGTGTTTAAATGCTCACATACTTGGATGGCCACTATTTTCTCCAGGACTTTGGATAAAAATGGAAGGTTAGATATTGGTCTATAATTCATTGGGTCATCTGGATCCAGAGAAGGCTTCTTAAGTGAAGGTTTGATTACAGCAACCTTAAAATCTTGTGGTACGGTACCCATTTACTAAGGATAGATTGATTATATCTAGAATGGGGGCAGTAACCAAAGGAAATGCTTCTTTAAATAATTTGTTTGGGATTGAATCTAAATATATCAAGCAGAAACAAAGCGCGCATGTGCCGCCGGCAACTTCAGCAGATGATACGGTGGCTGGTAAGGGTCACCGCGCCTACACCGCAGCCACGGTAATCCACTGAGATAATATGTTTTAAAAAACAAGACGGTTATTATTGTCATCTTTTTTACAGGGGTTTACCGCTACACCGGTTACCGTGACAACCCTAGCTCATACACACACACACAGTCTGATCTGCTGTTTCACTTTAGAAAATCTTACTTTTGTCTTTAATTCTTTTCTCCAGACTTTTGTCCTTGTGTATGAATGTGTTTTATTTCCTGTTCCTTCTCCAGTTTCATTGCCGATAACCAGATGAACGAGGCCTGCCTCCTGTTTGCTGAAAACAACGCCGCTGCCATCGTGGAGCAAAACCTGCAACGCAACTTCCTGCTGCACCTGATCAGCATGCACGACTTCAACCTGATTAGCACACGGACCATTGACAAGGCCATGGCCCGCCTCCTGCAGAGGCAGGCTGCTAAAAGAGATGAGGAGGAGGAAGAGGAGGAGGAAGACTGGGAGACAGCCACGGAGTCCCAGCCGGAGCCAGATCCTGAGCCAGATGCATCTGAATTTAAAACCTGTGGCGGTGAGACCAGGAGCAGCAGCCAGAACAATCAGGAGGAGGAGGTAGAAAAATCCAAGCAGAAACTCTCCAGCTCGGTTCTGAAGTGACTTTTCTGTCACAGAACTCAAAAACTGGACCAAAGGTCAGATGATATGAGGCAACACGCAGGTTTAAAACGACACACCTCTCAGCAGGGATGAACTCTAATCAGATGTGGTTTCTGTTTCAGTGAGCGTTAAGAACACCTGAAGCTCCGTGTCTTCGTCTCCAGATTGTTGAAACCTTCTCGGTGTTTTTAGCTCTGAAACTTAAGGTGCTACGAGTTCACCTGTAGTGAGAACACATCCGTTTCTACCTAAATCTGCTGAAACATCAGTGAAACAGTTTCTGCTGCTCCACAAACCCCTTCAGCTGCAGAGCTTTACTTGAATCAGACACATTCAGCTTTTTAGTGGTTCATTTTGGATAAATTCTGTTAACAAGTACTATTTTATTCTTTTTTTTCCCAGATCAGTTAACAGTTCTGCTAAAAAAAACACACATGTTCTTTCTCAGGCCTGCTCAGCTCCTCTAAAGCTGCTCCCGCTAGAACAGAACAGGCTCACCTGCTTGTATATGTGAGGGAGAACGTCATGTGCAGGAGGTGAAAACCAATGTTCTTAGACTCCTGCTGCTTCCTGCTCTTTTAAAACAGATCAGTGAAGTAATTCTGCTAATTTATAGAGTTAACCTGCAACATAATGAAGTTTGTTGACATCTTTGTTTCCCAGTGACTGGAGGGTAATTGGTTATCATTGTTGTTCAGTTTGGATCCATGGTTGGTATCGGATCACCAGGCACCTCCGCTGAGCCTCTTTTCAAATGTTAGTTTTTCCAGAAAACTTAAAGAAATCCTGGATTTCTTCAGTTTGTGTTGATCAGTTCATTCTTCTCCAGTTTCTGATGCATCAGGTTTTTGCTCTTATGGTGCTAAACTGTACTGATTCCTCGGATCCATGCTGGTGTTAGTCAGTAGTGATGCTCACCGCCAGCGCTTCAAGCACCGAGGCCATTTATTTCACAGAAAGCTACTTATTATGTGAGCCTCATGTCCAGGTTCTGATTTCAATTTAATCTGAAAAGTTGTGGTTTTTGTTTCACAGCATGAGCAGAGTGCTCTTTGGGTTTGTTCTCAGATGCTGACCTGATGTTTTCCATGTTTTACCAACCATCCGATTACCCAGGGAGCAACTTTTCTAGTCCGTGTGGCTAAATGAGGGCCTGTGTGTTGTTTCAGTGACCAGATGCACATTAGACTCATTATGTGTTAGTCTGGGAACAACATCGAGCACCGTGTGAAAGGTTTTTAGTTTTAGTTACAGGCCAAAGTTTTGTTTGGAGACTGGGACTTTGTCTCTGCACCGTCTGACCCAAAGTGTCCTCAGCCTCCAGGTGTGAGGTTTGACAGTCTGATGCTGCAGCTGGACCGGATGGCGGTGAGTCTGTGGGTTTAAGCAGGGCCGTTGTGGATTCTAAGGGTCATTCTGTTTCTGCAGCATTTTGCACAAATTGGGTGGAGCCATGTCAAGAAAACAGGATGTAAACCAGCTGGAACATCTTTACTGTTGAGTCAAAGTTTTTCTTTTTCTATTAAAAATAACTGTTTTGTAATACTGCAAAGATTGTTGTTGTTGTTGTTAGATGATCAGAAGCACCGAACATTCAGAGGAAAAAAGCACCGAAGCTGTTTGATTCCACCAAAGGTGAACTGAAAGGAACAAACTAATCCATTCTAGTCAGCCAGACTTTGATGGAATCTTCCAGGAATCCACACACACACACCTATGTTTCTAGATATAGAAAGGTGTGCGTAAAATTTCATGAAGTCAAGAAACATTTACACTAAAAACAAGCAGGGATAGAATTAATTGAATTCCCCAGAAGAAGCTACAACGATGTTCTGCTGAGCTGTGGTGGCCTCATGGAGGGGACCATCGGCTAGCACACTGCTGCTAACCACTAAAACATTCTCCCTCTCCTGATAATAACTCTTTGCTTTCCTTGACGTTGGATGTGCTACTGCTAGTTTATTTGTTTAATTATAGATTCACTAGGATAAATACAATAAAGTCTATCTCTCGCCAAATAGAATATTTACTAAGAAATCACAATATAACTATAGACACATTACTTTGTCGTGTGTGTGTGTGTGTGTGTGCGCGCGCCTGCCTGCCTGCTCTGTCTTCTCGATCCCCAGTGAGTCGTGGAGGATGGCTGCTTATACTGAGCCAGGATTCTCTGGAGGTTTCTTCCTGTTAAAAGGGAGTTTTCCTCTCCACTGTCGCTGCATGCTTGCTTAGTATGAGGATTGCTGTAAAGTCACTGTCAGTGACTTGATGCAATTTGCTGGGTTCCTTATGTAGGAAACATTATTTCTGATTGGCTTAAAGAACTGACTTGAATTGGAATGCTTATTATGTGAAGTGCCTTGAGACGACTCTTGTCGTGATTTGGCGCTATATAAATAAAATTGAATTGAATTAAAAATCTTGGAACATTTTCCTTTAAAAAAGAACTTGACTGGAGTGTGAAAATAAAGTCAAGCGTACCCTCATGCTGCTGTTGTCGCTCCTCGGCTCACACAGGCAAAATGACTGAAACTTATTGCAATCACAAAGTTTAGTCATAAGCCATTTATGTTTTTAATTATCAAACCAACATAATAAAATGACTGCAGCAAAAGCTTTTGGGCCATCGCAAGGATGTCTTTATTGAACCAAAGATTGTGTGAACACAAAAGCAATGCAGATCTTTGACCAGCAGATGTCACTGTTGTGGCTGTTACATTTTTTACCTCCTGAGGAGAAAAGTCTGAGGTACTTTTGCAGGATTTAGGACACGTGTACCATCAACTGAACCCTCGTCAGGCCCCCACTGTCCTCCACAAACATAAAAAAATGTAAGTCAGCAAAAAAAAAAAAATCTACTGATGAACAGGGGCGTAGCACCAAATTCTGGGCCCTATATGTACAAGTCTTCTAGGTGGGCCCCCATGCTCAATTACTTAATATCTCTCTTACACATTTTTTGTCATGCTATAAGACAAGATAATAAATATGATCTTAGTTTAACCTCTATATTGAGCAAATACAAATGCCAGCATAATAAAAGTGAAATGCCCAGACTTCACATACAATTATTTTTATTTGCCAACAATGTGTTCAAACAAAAATCCTGGAATTTATTTTCCAGTAGATGCCCACTGACGGGTCTTCATGTTAGCAAAATCACTTATGAGATCTTTAAAGTCCAATCCTTTGGCTAATTGGCTTTCAATAGAAAGAAGAGCTAGGATGTTCAGTCTATCCTGGGACATTGTTGATCTCAAATAATTTTTCACCAGTTTCAGTTTGCTAAAAGCCCGTTCACCCCAGCAACAGTCACAGGTAGTGTGCAAAAAATCCTCAGTCCAATACAAACTTCTCCAAAAATGCTCTGTAATTGCATCCTGTAGATGGCATTAAGCAGCTCAAGAGGAGACCGAATGTGTGGAAATGTGGCACCATATATTGTTCTCAGGTGTAGCATCTCATTCTCAAATTCAGCTGTGAGATCCTTGTAATATTTTCTCATCAGTGCCTGGCATGATATCTTCATCTGCTCTTCAGTCATGTCTGTCATGGTTCATGATGTTAAGCTTTGCTAATACTGATATATATTGATATATTAAATACAGTGGGGCAAAAAGTATTTAGTCAGCCACCGATTGTGCAAGTTCTCCCACTTAAAATGATGACAGAGGTCAGCAATTTTCATCATAGGTACACTTCAACTGTGAGAGACAGAATGTGGGAAAAAAAATCCATGAATTCACATGGCAGGATTTTTAAAGAATTTATTTGTAAATCAGGGTGGAAAATAAGTATTTGGTCAATAACAAAAATTCAACTCAATACTTTGTAACATGACCTTTGTTGGCAATAACAGAGGTCAAATGGTTACTATAGGTCTTTACCAGGTTTGCACACACAGTAGCTGGTATTTTGGCCCATTCCTCCATGCAGATCTTCTCGAGAGCATTGATGTTTTGGGGCTGTCGCCGAGCAACACGGACTTTCAACTCCCTCCACAGATTTTCTATGGGGTTGAGGTCTGGAGACTGGCTAGGCCACTCCAGGACTTTCAAATGCTTCTTACGGAGCCACTCCTTTGTTGCCCGGGCGGTGTGTTTGGGATCATTGTCGTGTTGGAAGACCCAGCCACGTTTCATCTTCAAAGCTCTCACTGATGGAAGGAGGTTTTGGCACAGAATCTCACGATACATGGCCCCATTCATTCTGTCCTTAACACGGATCAGTCGTCCTGTCCCCTTAGCAGAAAAACAGCCCCAAAGCATGATGTTCCCACCCCCATGCTTCACAGTAGGTATGGTGTTCTTGGGATGCAACTCGGTATTCTTCTTCCTCCAAACACGATGAGTTGAGTTTATACCATAAAGTTCTACTTTGGTTTCATCTAACCACATGACATTCTCCCAATCCTCTGCTGTATCATCCATGTGCTCTCTGGCAAACTTCAGACGGGCCTGGACATGCACTGGCTTCAGCAGCGGAACACGTCTGGCACTGCAGGATTTGAGTCCCTGCCGTTGTAGTGTGTTACTGATGGTGACCTTTGTTACTGTGGTCCCAGCTCTCTGCAGGTCATTCACCAGGTCCTCCCGTGTGGTTCTGTGATTCTTGCTCACCGTTCTCATGGTCATTTTGACCCCACGGGATGAGATTTTGCGTGGAGCCCCAGATCGAGGGAGATTATCAGTGGTCTTGTATGTCTTCCATTTTCTGATAATTGCTTCCACAGTTGATTTTTTCACACCAAGCTGCTTGCCTATTGTAGATTCATTCTTCCCAGTCTGGTGCAGGTCTACAATTCTTTTCCTGGTGTCCTTTGAAAGCTCTTTGGTCTTGGCCATAGTGGAGTTTGGAGTCTGACTGTTTGAGGCTGTGGACAGGTGTCTTTTATACAGAAAATGAGTTCAAACAGGTGCCATTAATACAGGTAACAAGTGGAGGACAGAAAAGCTTCTTAAAGAAAATGTTACAGGTCTGTTAGAGCCAGAGATTTTCCTTGTTTGAAGTGACCAAATACTTATTTTCCACCCTGATTTACAAATAAATTCTTAAAAAAATCCTGCCATGTGAATTCATGGATTTTTTTTTTCACATTCTGTCTCTCACAGTTGAAGTGTACCTATGATGTAAATTACTGACCTCTGTCATCATTTTAAGTGGGAGAACTTGCACAATCGGTGGCTGACTAAATACTTTTTTGCCCCACTGTACATATGACATGAAATAAACCAGGTTCTCTCTGTGAATGTAATGTACTCTAAATTTTATAATCCCTGCATTATCAGCCAAATTATAAGATTGTCCGTTTTCAAGATCAAATATAAAGAAATTTAAAATAGGCTTAAAATATCTAACCAAGTCAATAACAATCCTCTAACACCAGTGTCATCATGCTATACGAAAAACAGTGGCAGCTTCACATTCCTGAGATTACCACGAATCCATCGATACCAAGTTTGTCCTGGTCCATGACTGGGAAGGAGCTGAAATATCCACACAGAGTGAACCTGTTTTTACTGCGAGGTCCGCGAATTAATTGGCGGCGGCCGCCCGCGATAATAATTCTGATATATATATATATATATATATATATATATATATATATATATATATATATATATATATATATATACATATATATATACATATATATTAGTGTTTTCACTGATAACAATAATTAATTTATATTTGATCTTGATGGTGAAACTAAAGGCGTTTAACACTGAACACCTAACATGAATGCAGCTTCTGAGAGCTAGCTAATATCAGCTAAAACTGTTCTGCTGGTGCTGCTCACCTTCCTTCTTGAAAAACCTATTCAATACTTGCTTCTGTTCATTTAACTTTTTCTCCTTTTCTTTTCTTTTCTGGAAGCCAGATTTCCCTTTCTTGGGAAAAAACATGACTGACTCTCCTGCCTCCAGCTCTGGCTGTCGGCATCTGCGATGTCTCATAGCGGCTGTGCAGCCCATGTCTGCTGGTGTGGACTAAACCACTTTGCACATTTTTAAGGGGTGATAGATGCCTCAGAGATTATACAGTTATTATTTTTAAGGCGAAATTCTGTTTCTTATCCTCTTTATCCAGGTAAAGGGAAGTTTATTAAGACATTAAGTAAGTTGGGGGGGGGAAAAACAACAACAATAAAACATTTTTATTCAAAGCTGTCTCAGGGCCCCTCCCTGCAGTGGGCCCTGGATAAACGGTACCCCCCCCCCCCCCACCCCCACCCCAGTCCGACGCCCCAGGCTGAAGCAGAACCTGGGTCTGGTAGCTGGAGCAGAACCAGGGTCTGGTAGCTGGAGCAGAACCTGGGCCTGGTAGCTGGAGCAGAACCTGGGTCTGGTAGCTGAAGCAGAACCTGGGTCTGGTGAAGCAGAACCTGGGCCTGGAGAAGAACCTGGGCCTGGTAGCTGGAGCAGAACCTGGGCCTGGTAGCTGAAGCAGAACCTGGGTCTGGTAGCTGGAGCAGAACCTGGGCGTGGTAGCTGGAGAAGAACCTGGGTCTGGTAGCTGGAGCAGAACCAGGGCCTGGTAGCTGAAGCAGAA